GACAAGCTCCCCAAGATGCAGCTCGACTCAGGCGAAGAGGAGATCGAGGATCACACTCCTGCAGAGCTTACCAATGGCCGTAGCCGTCGCAACGGGAAGAAAGGAGATCTTCTTAGAGGGGTACTGGATCCCGGACGCAACGGAAGCAAGCCTAGAAACCAGAAGGAGGACAGCACGGCTTCTGGTAGCAAGGAGACGACGCCAGATGTCAATTCCGCCAATGAGGAAGAAATGCCCGATGCACCTGATGAGAGCCTCACCGAGGTCTCCAATGAGCGGTGGATGCCTAGTATCCCGAAGCCGGTTGTCGTTGGAGAGAACAATGGCCTTCTGGATTCGGATAGCAACCTCAAGGCTGACGGTCTCTTCAAGCGCAAGTGGTACCATTTATTCGCGAACCAGACTATCTTTGTCTTCTTGAGCATCTTCCAAAATTTGTATGCTCGTCTCAGGGATATCAAGGAGAGCAAGGAAAGCGCCCTTAATGAGGTTAAGCGCCTTAACCGTGACAAGCCCGCTCGAGATATCGGCCTAACAGAGAACTACATGGCCTTTTTCCAGCCTGAAGAAGATCCCGAGACATACTGGCCGAAGACTGTGGAACTCATTGAGGAGTACATCAGCGGCGACGTCGACGAAAACCGGTATCAGGAGGTCTTGCGTCACTATTACCTTAAGAACGGATGGAAGCTGTACACGCTCCAAGACCTGCTGAAGACCCTCTGCCGTCTTGCTCTTACCTGCAGCAGCCAGGACAGCAAAGAGAAGAGTCCTGATCTGATCCATCAGCATCTGAACAGTCGAGAGAAGCAGGAGACCAGCTACCAGACTGAGATCAGCGCAAGAAAGTTTGCCGAGAAGTGTGTAAAGGACGGAGAGTTGTTCACTATTCGATGGGTAAGTTTTCTTTCTTGAACTGATGAGTTATCTTGCTCTTGCTGACTGTTTGTGTGTCTAGTTCCCTGAAGAGGCCAAGGCGACAGTTCGCTGGTTGCAGAGGGATGAAACTACATTCTACACGGATGACATGCAACTTCGCGAGCGCTGGCAGTACTACATCTCGTCTTTCATCCGAATTGAGCCAACAGAAGGCATTCCCCGATCAAGACTGCAAAGAGTGGTTCTCGCACGAAACCTACCCTCGGGCGATGCCGACTCTGATGATGGAGCTTCTCCCAAGCGACTTTCTTATGAGGAAAACCTGACTATCAGCATCTGCTTGAGAACCTCCAAGATGATCTGGGGCCCCGGAACATCGGAGTATTTCGTGTATGACCAGTCTCCGAAGACCAAGGAGCAACGAGAGCGTCGTGAAAAGTTCACTCGGGCCTTGAGCAACCATCGTGAACTGGAGCTGACCAAGAAGTTCGTTCACAACCCAGCCTGGGCGAAGGACTTGAGTCCCGAGGAGGTTCAGGAACAGAATAGCAACTTCCGGAAGTGGATGGACGATGGAACTCCTCCCCCGAAGCCACTGAGCGAAGTGGATGGGGAGTAGTGTTCGGGTTGCCTGTGAATCACTAATGGAAGGATTAACGTTTAATTGGGTCATACATATGGAAGAAAGGAAGCGCTCCTATTTTATATCCTTGCTTTTCCCTCTTTTTTTTGTGTTCTGTTCTCTCCCGCATGGTCGACTCCGACATTCTACTTTTCTTTTTCTCTCATACATGTATTTTCATCAACACAAAAATGGGGAGCTGGCTCTCGCTGCATGGCAGAAGCTCAGACGGCGGTGGTACAAGGAATGAAGCGGAGTTGTTATCAGAAGCAGAGGTAAAACTAGGATTTTGATATCACATCCATACTTCATGAAATCATTATCTTTATATATTTCACATCACCTTGTGACATGATGACGGAACGGGGAATCGTGTTGTTTGCCCCGAGGGCCGGTTATTATTTCTTTGATCTTCAAACATTTCCGACTGGTAAGTCGTTTTTTGGTATCTAAATATTCGACATTACACAGGTTCAATTCCTCCTCCCTTTTTGACGATTTTTATTTTTTTGTTTCCCTTTATGTGATTAACTTATTGCAGGTTCTCAATGACCAGGGCGGAAGCACCGCCACCGCCGTTGCAGATACCGGCAACACCAATCTTGGCGTTCTTCTCCTTGAGAACGGTGGTGAGGGTGGTGACGATACGGGCACCGGAGGCACCGAGGGGATGACCGATGGCGACGGAGCCACCAAAGACGTTGACCTTCTCGGGGTTGAGGCCGAGGTGCTTGACGTTGGCGAGGGCGACGACGGAGAAGGCCTCGTTGATCTCGTAGAAGTCGACGTCCTTGTCGGTGAGGCCGGCGTGCTTGATGGCCTTGGGGATGGCGAGGGCGGGGGCGACGGTGAAGCGCTCGGGCTCGCGCTCGGCGTCACCCCAGCCGAGGATCTTGGCGATGGGCTTGAGGTTCAGCTCCTTGAGCTTGGCCTCGGAGACGAGGACGACGGCGGCGCCGCCGTCGTTGATGGGGGCGGCGTTGGGGGCGGTGATGGTGCCGTCGGGCTTGAAGGCTGGGCGGATGTCGCGCAGCTTGGACTCGTTGAGGTTCTTGACCTCGTCGTCCTTGTCGACGACGACGTTTGGCTTGCCGCGGCCGCCGGGGACCTCGACGGGGACGATCTCCTTGAAGAGGCCGGCCTCGGTGGCGGCCTGGGCCTTCTTGTAGCTCTCGATGGCGTAGTTGTCCTGGTCCTCGCGGGAGAAGCTGTTGTCGGAGGCGCAGAGCTCGCCCTGGAGACCCATGTGCTCCTTCTTGAAGGAGTCGGTGAGGCCGTCCTTGAGGACGCCGTCGACGAGGGTCTGGTCGCCGTACTTGGCGCCGTTGCGGAGGTTGGGCAGGTAGTGGGGGGTGTTGGACATGGACTCGGCGCCGGCGGCGACGACGACGGACGAGGTGCCGAGCATGATGTTCTGGGCGCCGAGGATGATGGCCTTGAGGGAGGAGGCGCACACCTTGTTCACGGTGGTGGCAATGGTCTTCTGGGGGAGGCCGGCGCCGAGAGCGGCCTGGCGGGCAGGGCCCTGGCCGAGACTGGTGAAAGACATTCGTTAGCATAGGTGTCGGGAAGATGTCGAGGCGGGCCATTGCGTTGTCTCGTGGTAAGAGAAAAGGCCATGGATGTGCGCCTCGCACGCAATCTGACTTGTGATCACGAAGCACTTACCCAGCAGAGAGGACATTGCCAAAGAAGACCTCGTCGACGTCCTCGGGCTTAATTCCAGCGCGCTGAACGGCACCTGTTCCAGAGTGATTAGACCGTCTGCTGTATACTCGGTTTGGAGAGTGGCTTTACCCTTGATGGCCTCGGAACCCAGTTGGGTTGCGCTCAGACTAGAGAGCGAGCTGGAGAGTGTCAATAAGGGTTTGGTGGGATGGCGGGGTAGTTGAGAAAAACATACCCAAGGAAAGAACCAATGGGGGTTCTGGCAGCAGAAACAATGTAGACGGGAGGGAGATTGGCCATGGTGACGATGTGGATGAGCTTGCGGGAGAAGACAGGAGGAAGGCAGACTGTTATCGGGGAGAAAGCAGAGTATTAAATAGGGGTGGGGAGAATCAGTTCTCACCGTCTTGTATCCTCGCCGACAGTCGGGTTTCCCACCAAGAGACAGCTTTAGCGGTGCCTCTCCCAACAGACTTGCTGGTGGGGTTCCCGCAGCCTGTGGCGTCAGCTCCAATTGGGCCTAGCGCTGTCGCCGGTTGTGGCCGTACCTCCAAGTCCCACTGCAAGCAAAGCGCGCGAGTGGAGCCAATATCAACGGCAATTCGTGATCGTATTGCGAGTGATGGATGGATTCATTGCCCCTGTTGAGCTGCCCGTCGAGATCCTGGGGGATTGAGACTAGCTCTGTGTTTCCATGTCGAATTGGGCTTTGTTATCTTTTCCTGTTCCGGCTGGCTCATCTCATGTATCTAGGTACTGTACCTGGGCCCCCGCATACTTGATAGAATAATCAGTATCCTCATTCTGCAAACAGCGAAATCTTTAGATGCCGCCGTAATGGACCAAGTTTCATTATGACAGGAGAGGGAATTATACATGAGTGCTTTTTCCCTGTTTTAGATCCCGAATTTTCTTATGCATGAACTAAGCCTACTATGTTGGCCTCTGCAGCTATGGGTCACGCCTTTAAGTGTTATCAATCTGGAATTAGCTCGTTCGATCACGGAGATGTCATTGGGTCTGGTTTTTCTGCTAAATGTGTCTATTGTGTCTGAATAATTGCGCATAGGGATTTCCTCAATTTTAGGTAGTGTAATAACTTGGTGCGTTTGGATCTATGTTCCTCCCCTCCTTGAGCACCTGGCAGGGCCATCCCAAGTAGATCACTCTGGGACCCCAACGTCAATGATGGAATTTTCCACTAAGCTTTACGACATACATGAGCCATGCTGAGCTGAATCGCATGGGTAAATAGTTCACTTCTTTCGTGGAGATTGCAGGATGACGACGAACTTCCTCCCGAATACGAAGGTAGGCAGCACCACTATCGCTAGTGAGGCATTGAGCAACAGTTGCAGGGTTGCACCGCTGTCTTAGTCACTGCTACATCCCCATTCCATGCCTGTTCGAGGAAACCTCCTATTGCTACAATCTGGTTCGGAGCGGTGGAATGGGAGATAGCTGATCAGATACATCTGGGAGATCTGAAGTGACGGAGAATGGATGGCACCCCCTGTCTAAAATCCGATCTGTCAGGTCCAAAGGTACTGCCAGGCACAAGCGCTTGTCCATCAGGGATCCAGGGACTGGGTGTGGCTTGATAGCCAATCAGAGCACTGCCCGCGGATTTAGTCTTCAGCCTTGCATAATTTCACGTGATGTAAAGTGTAGCCTCGTCGCGAATCAGAGCAGCTTAGCTCAGGCCCAAAAAAAAGTTGGCGTCACAACGAACTGTGGTTAGATACCGGAAGCTCGCGACCGGACATCCACGAAATCCTGCACTTTCCAGTCGACAGTCGCAAATAGAGGAACCGAGCGTACCAATTACAGGATGGATGATCTCTACGACGAGTACGTCTTTCCAATTCCATTGTTGTCTGAAGCACGCAGCGCCATGTACTAACGACCAACCTAACAGGTTCGGTAACTTTATCGGGGAGGAAGTTGAGTCGGAGGAGGGCTCTGAGGTTGGCGTTGACGCCGACGCTTACGTATACGATGATGACGATCACGATGCAGCTCCAGGTGTGACCGGTCAGGAGCTTATGGAGGTTGACGGTAAGTCGGGTTGCGTTTCGTTTGACTTGCGACTTCTTGATGCTAATTGAGATGCGCTCGCATCGCGCAATCTAGATGGTCCCTCAAATGCCGTTATTCTACACGAGGACAAGCAATATTATCCGACTGCAGAGCAGGTATACGGAGCCGAAGTCGAGACCCGGGTGGAGGAAGAAGATGCCCAGCCTCTTACGCAACCCATCATTGCTCCAGTTGAGCAGAAGAAGTTCAATATCGAGGAGGCAGACCTTCCGCCAGTGTTTTTCGAGCGCGAATTCATGACCGATTTGATGAACCTACCGGAACAGATTCGAAATATCGCATTCGCTGGCCATCTTCATCATGGCAAAACCGCATTCGTCGATATGTTGGTACTCGAGACACACGATATCAGCGAGAAGCTGGACCGCAGGGTTGGAAAGAACCGAGATGAGCAGTTACGATATACAGATATTCATATCACTGAGAGGGAACGTGGCTTGTCCGTGAAAGCGGCACCAATGAGCCTCGTTCTGCAGAGCTCTAGGGGGAAGTCACACTTGGTCAATTTCATCGACACGCCCGGTCACGTCAATTTTGTCGACGAGGTTGCTGCATCTTTCCGTCTGGTAGATGGTGTGTGCTTGGTGGTGGATGTTGTCGAGGGAGTCCAGGTCAACACAGAGCAAATCATCAAGCATGCGGTTTTGGAAGACATTCCGTTGACTCTGATCATCAACAAGATGGACCGCCTGATTTTGGAACTCAAGCTCCCTCCTAAAGACGCCTATTTTAAGTTGAAACACGTGGTCGAAGAGGTAAATAGCGTCATCGCCGCCGCCGCTCCTTTATCTGCAGCATCCAAACGAATCAGTCCCGAGAAGGGCAACGTTCTTTTCGCTTGCACCGATATGGGCTGGTGCTTCACCCTCCAGACCTTCGCCAAGATGTACACAGATTCCTATGGTGATATCGACCCAGAAGAATTCGCCAAGAGATTATGGGGGGACGTTTACTTCAACCCAAAGAAGCGAAACTTTACCAGAAAACCTGTGGAAGACCGTTCAGCAAGATCCTTTGTCCACTTCGTGCTGGAACCTATTTATAAGATTTTTACTCATTCAATTAGCGACAGCCCGGAGGATCTTAAACCAGTACTGGCGTCTCTGGGAATCGAGCTCAAGCCTTCACAATACAAGGCTGATGCGAAAGTTATCCTCAAGCTTGTTTGCGAGCAGTTCTTCGGCAGCTCAACAGCATTCGTGGATATGATCGTTCGCCATATCCCATCTCCGGTAGAAGCCTCCGGCGAGTACCTGAAAAAGTACTACACTGGGGATCTGGAAAGTAAGGTTGCATCATCGATGATGCTGTGCGATCAGGATGGGCCTCTGGTTGTTCACGTCACTAAGCTTTTCAACACGTCGGACGCAAAGAACTTTTACGCCTTTGGTCGTGTATTGAGCGGTACTGCTAAACCTGGCGATCAAGTCCGTGTTCTTGGCGAGGGGTATTCCCTGGACGATGAGGAAGACATGGCCATGGCCTACATTGGAGGGGTGTATATTGCTGAGACGCGGTACAACATCCCCACAGACGGTGTCCCTGCTGGAAATCTGGTTCTTCTGAGTGGTGTGGATAACCCGATTATGAAGTCTGCGACGATTGTTCCGCCCAAGCTGGAGGATGATGAGGATGCCTACATCTTCCGACCCATCACTCATTTCACCGAGTCAGTTCTCAAGGTGGCTGTTGAGCCTATCAACCCCTCCGAGCTTCCCAAGATGTTGGACGGCCTGCGAAAGATCAGCAAATCATACCCCTTGATTACCACCAAGGTAGAAGAGTCGGGAGAGCACATTGTCCTTGGGACGGGCGAGCTGTACATGGATTGTGTTCTGCATGATCTACGACGGTTATATGCCGACATGGACATCAAGGTCTCCGACCCTGTCACCCGTTTCTGTGAGACCGTGGTGGAGACGTCGGCTACGAAGTGTTATGCTATTACCCCCAACAAGAAGAACAAGATCACAATGGTGGCGGAACAGTTGGAGAAGGGCATCTCAACGGACATTGAGACCGGGTTGGTAAAGATCCGAGACCCCATCCGCAAGACAGCCACATTCTTTGAAGAGAAGCACGGCTGGGACAAGCTCGCTGCCCGAACTATTTGGGCTTTCGGTCCCGACGACATGGGACCCAACATTCTGCAGAATGATACCCTATTAACATCGGTAAGTCGCCTTCCCAACCAAGTCTTGAAGGTATATGAACGGTTACTGATGGTCTGCTCTTACAGGCTGAAGAGAAAAAGCTCCTCAACACGGTAAAAGAATCGATCCGGCAAGGTTTCAGCTGGGCCACCCGTGAAGGGCCATTGTGCGAAGAGCGTAAGTTTCCTCATCTCCCCTTTTCTCAGCCATCCACGCAACGGTCTATCTATAAACTGCACACACATACTAACATCTTTTACAGCAATCCGAAATACAAAGTTTAAAGTCACAGACATCACGTTGGCCAACGAGGCCATCTTCAGGGGTGGTGGCCAAATCATCCCCACCTCCCGCCGCGCATGCTACTCGTCCTTCCTCATGGCGTCCCCACGGCTCATGGAGCCCCTCTACTCCGTCTCCGTCACCGGGCCCGAGGACTCCTACATGGAGGTGTACAACGTCCTCGCGCGCCGCAGAGGCCACGTCCTCTCCGACGGCCCCGTCTCGGGCACGCCCCTGTACCGGGTCAACGGCCTCATCCCCGTCATCGACAGCTTCGGCTTCGAGACGGACCTCCGCATCAAGACCCAAGGCTCCTCCATGGTCAGCCTCGTCTTCGACAGCTGGAGCATCGTGCCCGGAGACCCCCTGGACAAGGAGCAGATCATCCGACCCCTGCAGCCCGCCAACGCGCAGGCGACGGCGAGGGACTTTGTGCTCAAGACGAGGAGGAGGAAGGGCCTGAGCGAGGACGTGAGTGTCAGAACGTTCCTGGAACCCGAGTTCTACCAGTCCCTGATGGAGAGCGGGCTGCTGGGAGAGATGTAGGATTCATGTTCTGCGATATATGGAAAACATCCGGAGCAGTTTCGCAGACGATTATGGAATATTCGGAGCAGAGTTCGCAGATGGGGAAAGTTCTCATACTGACATGGTTGGTTCTATTGGCGTCAATGCGCGTATGGTTGCGCATATTTGCATAGTAATTACCTATATATCTAGGGTCCGAAAAAGCGAAAGAAAGGGAAATATAGAGTACGGCATGGTTGAATACAGCTGTGGTGTTTCTTTTCTTATATCCTCAAGTCTGCAAATGAAACGCTTTCTCAATCGGTTTTAACTCATGCAGCTCCGTTTTGTTTTTTTTCCATCTTACGGTCCCTAGCAGCGGCCATGTTTCCCGTTTCCAACCTCCTCCGAGCATCCATCCTCCTCTTCCCCGGACCTTTGCCATTTAAGGACGAAGCGGTCTGAGTTATTTTGAATTTCGTGAACATAGTCATCCGATCGTGATTTGATCCATGTCCGCACCCACACCCGTCTACACATTTCAATAGGCTCAAACCTCGTGGGTAAGCGGATGCTCCCGCGAAGGGCACATTTTAAGCATGTAAGGTCCAGCGATCATTGTCATGCATGAGATTTACCGGCATTTCTGCTGCTGCAGGTTTCCACATTCTATTTCTAGAGCTGTGATGTGCTGTCAGACGTAACGGTCACACTCGCGACCGCAACGATCCGTGCTGTGAAGTGCCTTGCAGACACTCATTTTTTTGGGGGCCGAACCCGAACTATCGGCAAGTACCTTGGGCAAGGGTTTCTTGTTAAGAGCGGAACCAGCTTCTTTGGCTGCTCAGGTTGGGCGTTAGCAGGAGCATGTTTATGTGTATCATGCCAGCCGAGTTTTCTAGCTATGTGCTCAAGCACACGTCTCCAACATCTTGTCCAAGACGCCCTTCAGGGTATCATTTTCCAAGGCCGCAGCTACGCGCTCCTTGTCGCTCAGCTGCTTGTTCACCTGATCATCCTGGCTGTGGCTGTTCTCCTTGCAACGCACAACGACACGGTAGTTTGGGGGGAGGGCTTGCTCAAGGCGCACTCGGACACCAAGACCGATGACGGTTGCGAGCGAGCAGTGTGTGATAGTCGGCGTGATCTCGACAGCAACCTGGACGATGGTGTTTGGAGACGGGGCACCGAGAGAAGGGGAGGGCGTGATGTGGATGTCTGGAAGATTGATGACGGACAGCTGTCCAAGAGAGACAGGGTGCTCCGGATCAGAGATAGTGGAGATTAGATCTATAAGGATCGGTCAGCGACTAGACAACAACGGGGCGGGCGATACGTGATGATAATGGTGATGCGACAACGTACCGTATATCTCCTGTTCATCAATGGGGTCATTCTCGAAGTCATCTTCGTACGAGTTGAGTTTCGGCCACGAGATAGCCTTTAGGTCATCTACGGAGAGGGGCTGAGAGAAGTATGACGGCTTGGAGAAGATGAGGTCACCGAACTTGGAGTCAGGGCCTTGCCTGGGAGCCGTCTTCTTCTGTCGCGTGGGGAGCTGGGAAGCGCTCAGAATGGTTGGGTTAGCGTTGTCGAGGGATGCGGCGGCCATGTTTGGAACCAACGGTCGGGACGAGGACGAGGGCGAGGAGTTTTCCAGAAGGGTCACAGGGCCAGGGGGCGACACAGAGCAAGCTTCAAGATCAAATGGGTTGGTGATGGAGGTGCTGCAAGCCGGCGGTGATATGTCTGGGTGGTGGATGCGCGGTTTGACCAGGGTGGGTGCATATCCAGCATGGAGGGGTAAGTGCTGCCCTGCCCTGCCTGCCTTACCTTGCCTTACACCTTACCACTGAGCCGTCCACACCGCATCGCACCGCACCGCACCGTGGCCGCAGCATCCAGGGACTGCTAGCAGGGACTCTAGCAGGGCCTTCGGGTGGGCCCTGCTACCCTGGGCCCTGTCCCACAAAAGCTTGAGCCAGACAAGCCCTCGGCCGGCAGTCTCCGCCGCGTGCTCTCAGGTACGTACACACCTTGGTAGGGAGTTCTCTGTTGGTCCGCGGCAGCAGCGCGACGAGTCAAGTGTTTGGAGCTGAACCACCGCCTGAAACAGCGCCCCTCAAGAGCTTCAAGTGCCGGTCTAGCGGTCTGAAACAGCGAGTTGGAGTCCCGATGGGGACGGGATGGAATGCGAGCCTGCACGCTGGGGATTGCGAATCTACGCCGAAACATGCGGAATACTTGGCGGGTTAAACCAAGGCCGAAAAGCTTCTTCCCGCAGGAAGATACGTACCCCGTAAGCAGCGTAAGGCTGAGTGAATGATGAGATGCAATGCGATGCCATGCGATGGAAATCCATCAATTGTGTGTGCCTGTTTCTCAACAAGGCAGGTGGCTGGCATCCCGGCCTCAGCTCTGAGCACCGAATTCAATACGAGGGGTAGCCATAGCGGCGAGCTGGGCACCATCCGCGATTTTTCCTGGTGCCATCCCTGACCGATCTGTGCGCATCTTTCGAGTCCAAGCCAGCGCTCGTGGGCAGGTAGGGCCTAGAAATGTTCTCGAAGGCCTCCCGATCCAATGAACTATCGGCCCTCAGAAGTTCCGTAGCAGTAAAGGGGGGGTCGAGTCCATGGACATGGGGGTCACCTCCCACACAGGTTGCGGTTGTGGTGATATGAGCCGATGGGAAACTCCGTCTTCGTGGAGAGTGTGATCGACGTTGCTCTCCCTTTCCTTCCTTTTCTCTGGATGCCGCTGTCTGTGGTGGGCCTCCATCTTTCCTCGTTCCTCTCGCACCGGCCTGGTTGTGGTGGAACTGTTCATGGGAGGTAGGCTACACGGTATAGTTGTGGCTTGTTCGTACGACAGCCGCTGGGTTCAATTGTCGTAACATTTCGTGTAAAGAGCACTGCCCAAAGAGGCTCGGTGCATGAGATGGGATCCACAGCTTCGCGTCTCCTGGGACCAAAGGCCCTTTTCATACCAGGTAGGCTCGACGCCCAATGGCCATGTGTGTTTCCAGGCTCCTCTCCCATCCCCATGGCCAGCCCTCGATTGGAATCTGCCCGCAGAGCTACCGAGTGGAAGCATGCATGCTTGCATGCATACTGGCCAGGGTCCAGCCACGCTTTTCTTATTGATACTGTTGCATCAGTACGCCGGTAGCCCAGCACACTCTGCGTGGTCACATCCAGGTTCTACCTCTCCAGGCTTGCCAGGTCCCATCAGGCACCTGGAGGCTTGAAATGCCTCGGCTCGCTGCATACACTAGTACGCCCTGGCCCAACCACAAATGACAAAGGACGGTGTGGTCTGTACATGCTGACAGGAGCATGTGAGACCGGCGCCTGAACCCTTGTCTCCCTGTTTTGCTTGCTGGGAGCGACCCATTTTATCCAAATAATCTCTTTAATAATGGGATGTTGATGTCATTTCCGAAACTCCGGGTTCTGGAACGCGCAAACTCCTGTGCGCTTTTTTCACACCGGCAACATTATTCGGGCGGGAGAGGAAGGGGGCAAAACTAGGACTGATCAGGCATATGTTAAGCCAACTGCATCGGCACTTCCAGAGCCAACGCGCATGGTGGCGAGCTGCGCGGCCTTTGCTTCTGTGAGAGAGAATTGCTCGGTCTACTGTTGAATAGATAGGACGTGAAGCCTCCCCCAGGACATACCTGACTAGTTCCGAGAGCGGAGCGGGCTGAGAATCGAAGCCTTGTTCGTCTTTTGATCAAGGCTCCCCCCTGTTTACTCCAGATGTTAATGATCCTAACGACATAAGGCGGCCAGCCCTGCTGAGCCAAAGCAATACTAATGAAAAGATCGATAGTGAATATGCAGGTAGCCAAGAGGTGCATTCGACAACAGGTTTGCAGACCGGATTGCTCAACACGCGTGAGAAGCAAGCCCCTGTCTCGGGGAACCGGGCTAGGGACGGGTTTTGGCGGAGCCAGGATGTCATCAAGACAGAGTAGAGACAGTGTTCAAGAGACCCCAAAGCCGTCATCTCAGGGTTAATTAGCGAGTGGGGAACAGGATAATATGTCGAAGTAATATTGTTCGCTTGACGAGGACTGTTGATACGCCCAAATGCGCACGGGGAACCCGTCGGTTTCGGCTGTATGTATTTCCAATGATGACACATCTGCTGCACTCACTAGTGATTTCCCTTATTGTCAAGGGCATTATTGAGTGGGTGTTCGCAAGCTTGCCTCTGCCGTGTTATTCTGGAATGCTTTGAGGAGTGGGAACTAAGACCAAAGTTCCCAAGCCCACTTGATTGGGGGATTAGTACCTCATCAAGCTTTGACGGTCGAGCCGGGAGACGCTACATAGTGACAGCGAGGTCTCTCCGTAGTGCTGTCATCGCGGATACCCGACGCGTACTTTTCCGTGGTGGCAAGAAGAGGAAGAAGAAGAGCTAATGGCGGGCATCCAGGCAATGTTGGCCGGTTGCAGATGCGAATCACGATCACAAGGTGGGATCGGAGAGGCTTGCGGTGCTCTGAGTTTCACCTGGTGGTCGAAGGAGCCTGCTCTATCGTTTCATGGTTATTGCGATACCCATCATGGGACTCGGCTGGCTGCATATGTTGCTGGAGACTAGCGTCGGCAAACATGAGCATGTGCAGCCGCTCGTAAATGCGGAGAGCGACTAGGGAGCCTTACTCTTACTCGAGATCCCGACGGCCCAGCAGCTGATGTGATGTGGTGGATAATTCAGGCAAATAATCGCATGCGCATAACAAGGAGCCGCCCGACATCCAGTGCGACCCTCGTGGTGTGGCCGTGTTGTATCTGCTACCTGCCGATCTGTAGGCCTGCTCGATGGCTCCCGAGTACACTCTACATTGGACGTCGTAATGGAAGATGATCTCCGGGATGTCCCTGCTTCTTCACCAGTAGAAGTAAGATGGAAGCCGCGACGACGCAAGGTACGGCCCTGCCGCCCTGGCGCGCATCGCAGCAATTGGTGGCTGGCGTAATCGTCGGAAGAGGGAGCACCGCTACAGTGGGGTCCAGTGTCTTGGGGAAGGTACCTACCTTCTAGGAAGCGACCGACCTTACCTGAAGTACAGTAGGACTCGGCTGGGATCAATCACTGAATGCTATGGTGCACTTTCTCTCAGCCTACCACCTACCTAATCGATGCCATTTCATGATAACAGTGCGTCGTGAGTTCATCGTCGGCCAATCTCCATGGCTGCGATGGTCGTTGCCAGTCTCGACTGTCACGCGAGGCCGTCGAGGCAGCCGTCCATTGTGCCCGCGCAGCCATGCAATGCAATGCAATGGCGAGCGGTGTTTGCTTACATTTAGCAGCCCTTCTCATGCTATCGTGTAACCAGCATGGAAGTACTTGGACAAAGCTCCGCTGTTGGTAACACAACCAGCCTCGAGGTCTCAGGCATGACTTGGCTGGCTGTCGGAGCGCGCCGAGGAGCAGAGAGCCCTGGCTCACTCTGGCTCATCCTCTTGCATCCCAGGTTTCCAGGGATTCCGTATTTGTTGGGTGTTGTGGATGGCGAGGAGGTCTGCATCAGGGCCGACTGCCCCTACGTGGTACGTGTTATGGAGGCAACATGGCGAACCTTGGTACCTAAACTGGGTGGCAGAAGAAATGAGACATCGGATGGTATGCCGGTCCTGACCAGACCACTTTCTGCGACGATGAGGATGATATCGCAGTGTCAAACGATGTGCACTAGTAATTTTTAGTGCAGGATTATCTCTCGAGTTGATTTATTAGCCGTTGATAATCCGATGATACCGGTTGCAGACTCGAGAATAAGCAGTATAATCGTTGAGCGTCTCAAATAATGTCACCCAGTTGGCACTATAGCATGCTGGAGCTTATAGGCGCCCGGGGCAAGGTTATCTTCCATCCAGTCCAATGGATCGGGCTCGCAGTTCCTTCGATCCCATGCACTGTATGTCGTCTGCCCGCTCTAGACCCCACTGGAGCCACTGTTTGACAACCCCACCGAGCCCACCAGCGCCTGCTACCCACTACCCAGACGCTAAGGCAGAGCCAACCAAGGACCCCTCTACGAACACCCCACTCGACTGGCAGCAGAGCGAGCCCTGGGATGGGGATGGGGAGCCAATCTTAATATCTGCCGGACAGACCAGACCAAGAGTAGCCTCAATGGGATGGGGAGAGGTTTAGGTCATGGCAATCGAGCGGTGCGCCTGCTCCTCGACGCGCAGACCGGCCGTGATCTGGTGAGCAGCCTCGTCGCATAGCGCATCATTTCCCGGCATGAGACTGTCCGCTACCCCATGCTGCGTGAAGGCACCTACCGCTGCTCGCTTACTAGCGTCGCCCATCATTGCCCTGGATCGATCTGGCCAGGCTGGGAGGCCACCGAGCTGGAGTTGGGCGCCAGTGTCATGGATATGCCGTGAGAGGAGTCGGTGCTAGTTCTAGGAGCCCGGGCTAGCAGGACACCCTAAATGCTGCGAGTGATTGTGCGTCACCAATGCCGTCGCGGATGTGCGAGTATCATTATTACATACCACGCACTTACGTATTGGCAGCGACAGGGGGGCGTTTCTGCAGGACCTGGACTGGGGCTATAGCGCCCATCGAAACTGTAAAATCCAAGCATGGCGCTGGACCCAAGCGACAGGGTCAGCCCATCCGTCATTATAAGCCTGGACCACCTGCGCCCAGCAGTCCTCCGGCACGCGCATGCACCCCTCCCTCCTTTGCCGGCCAACCCATCGCCCATCGACTTCCTCAGCGTCCATGCGGCAGACGGCCTTATCCACAATTTGATGCCTGCACGCCCGTGAATGTCGATGAGGGCGAACCAGAGACAGGCCAAAGTGTAGTTTATCTGCTCTGCACGCCACCGCCGTCCGATCCCGACCCGACCTGTCCTGCGACCGACGACGTCGACTCGACATACCCAAAGCTGCTTCTCCCCCGAGCTGAACAGAGTGACTGCACCGGCTTGCATTGTCTCGCCTCGCTTCTGCCGTCGGTTCAGACGCCAACCTGCGACTCTAACGCCGACCGCTCCCGCTTGCGTATTTGAATTGCCGCCTCTGGTGCCCGCGGGCCTTCTTTGTCGACTTGATGTCGACTGTTCCCGCCTGGTGATTTCTCGACAGGCTTGGGACGACAGTCTCGAGCCATCACATCCATTATGTCCCAGGATCCGAATTCTCGCGTCCTCCTCCCTCAGAACCCGCCGAGCGCACATACACCTACCTTCTCCGTCGCGCCGCAGCAGTATCCTCAGAGCTCCGCCCAAAAGAGTTTGCGAACCCCTCTCCCCGCCGGTAGGGCCTGTCCCTTGGCTTGTTCACCGTCTAATTGCTGTTTCCGATAGACTATGTGTTTGTCGACGAACATAACCGCCACAAGCGGTTAAAGGGTATGTCTCCAACTGCGAACCCAGCGCATGGCATCCTACTGACAACGATCGTGCAGTGATGAGGGCCTGTGAGGGCTGTCGTAGACGAAAGATCAAATGCGACGCCGCGACCACCAACACATGGCCCTGCTCAGCCTGCGTTCGACTCAAGCTGCAATGTGTGCGACCGAACGGTTACGACGGGTTTGCCGACTCTGGCTTCGAGACCTCGATGGGCCAGTCAGATCAGATGCAGCAAATGCAGATGCAGCAACCCATCATTCACCCAGCACAGAAGCCTGGACCGCCTGTTTATGCTCAAACGTACGCTGATATGAGTGCCTCTGCATATCAACCAGTGACATATGATCCCGAGCAATCGCAGGCACATGGTATGAATTACACCACCGTCTCTCATGTTCCTGTCATGGATCCTACATATCAGCAGAATTTATATCAGCCACCACAATTACAAGTATCTACGAGGCATGAAGCCTCGCCCGAAGCCTATACACCAGAATCACTACAACAGGGCGATTTGGCAGATTTGCTGGGAAGTTTAAAGGTGGACGAGAAAGGAACAGGTGAGCTCCTCTGTTGGGTCTTTACACCTCCCAGTAATCTAACGTCAGCACAGCACCCTATCTACGAAACAAGGCTTCTTTTGTGCGCGAAGAGCCAGCAATGGAGGACGATGATGAATACCAAGTTGACCTTCCACCGGCGCTTGGCCCTGGGTCCAAGATTCGAATCCCGCCTGAGTTGATGCCCGAAGAATCCGTCGCTCTGAGTTACATCGACGCCTTTTTCACCAACGTCCACCCATATGTACCAGTTCTAAACAAGGCGAACTTTCTTCACCAGTGGCACACCAACAGGGATGCTATTTCCCCCTTGATCTTGGAAGCCATTTTTGCTCTCGGTGGCCGTCTACGAGATGACCCGAGCGATGGCCAACAATGGCTGGCCCTCTCCTCTAGTAAGCTTATTATTTCCCATGCGCCCGGCGTGTTAATTTGCTAAACAAGTCCAGGGCATGCGGATGCCTTCCTCGATGTTCCAAGATTAAGTACCCTTCAAGGTTTATTGCTGCTTCTCAAGGCACGGGAGGCAGTTCCAAAACGAGGCTACTATTACCGCTCATGGATGACAGTGGTTCAGTGCGCCCAGATGGGCAAAGACCTCGAACTGGACGAACATCTCGATGACCACGCGTCAGGTCGTGGGTGCGACTTCAACCCTGTTGATTGTCAGCTTCGCACACGAATCTGGCAGGTGGTGTTTGTTTGTGAAGTCATGGTTGGCGCGCCACAAGGTCTGTCGAAACTCTCTGCTCTACAAGATAAAAACTTGGAATAGGGATGACGGAATATTGATTGAGAGAATTAGGACGCTTCGATCTTTCGATCCCGGAAGATACTGTGGACTTTGACGTCCATCCTTCCACTGGTGATGGAGAGGGAGACAGGACCTCACGCAACTTTACGTACCTCGCACGCGTTGTTCGTAATGTCAAGCGACTGAGCAGCGTGTACATGAAGGTGAGGAAGAAGAAGGAGTGGGGCATGGACCCTAAAGTCCAAGAGTTGAAGGCCGGATTCGATTCCTTCTTGACAGAGCTCCCTCCCGATCTTGTCGTTAGTTTCCCCCCTGATGGCTCTTCTCCGTGGATCCAGGACCCCTTCACTGGAAACTTGCTGTCCTATTTCTACCTCACATTGATTCTGTATCATCGGCCACAGCTCTACTCCATTGACGCGACGGCCAACCCTGCGCAGTGGAAGCACCATATGGTGATTTGTTATGATTCCGCCAAGGCTCTCTGCCGGTTACAGGAAGCGACTTTGGCACTCGGCGGCTTGGGAGCGCTGCAGAGCATGCAGCGGGGCTACAGCTTCACGGTGTACGCTGGGTTGTCTTGCATTGTGCTTCATTTGGTATGTTGGCGCAGATCCACGCACTAGTGTTTATATTGTAACTCATTGTCTAGGTTGCCGTTGTTTCGCCCGATCCGGACTTGAATTCAGACGCGAGACAATATTTTACCCGCCACATGAGGATCATGGAACAGGTAATGGAGGTATGGGCCATGCCCGAGCTTCGGTCACAGGTGGAGGCTGTGCGTGAAGCATTCTCGGCGGACATACGGAAGCCCTTTGTTCTCAAACCATCGTTTCCTTATGGGAGCCCGCATCCCTCGAACAGCTCGACCTCCCCTAACAGGCCGCATGGCTACAGACCGGAATTTGGTCGGACTGGATCTATGGACCAGCATCTTGATGCGCCGAACGCTCAAAATGTTAGTTATATTGGACACCCCATCTCTCCCCCAGTGTCGATCGGTACCACGGATAGCAAAGGTGACTCTCCAGCTGGACAGCCCCTCATGATGATGTCCCAAAGTGGCCCAACGCCGGGACTACAAAGTTTGCCGCTCGCAGAACAACCTGCTTGGAACCCGGCCAGAATCTTCGAGTGAGTGCTCGAGCGTACCTTTCGGATCCCAACCCTCGCAACTAACCTCTCTCCTTAGGCACTGGAATACATCCTTCGGTACGCCCGCTCAACCTAATGCATCCTCAGCCCCACAGAGCCGGTCCCTAAATCTTGATACTTCAGGTACTGCTCATGTCTCTGGCATCCAGGACTACCAGGATCCGAATGCTGGAGCAATGAGTTCCAGTCAGCAGTCAATTTCGCCGCAGCAGTACACTGCAGCTACAATCCCTAATTTCGTGACTCCGGCAATGTGGCAGGAATCCGTGGCCAGCGTGTATGAAGGCGGTCTCAAGAGGGCTTGGGACTACGACTCAGGCCCCATGATGAAACGACGTCAATGACCAGCTCGCTCTGCTACCCATGCTATCCCTTGAAATCGCGTGAGACCCGGGCTCGCGTCGATGGCAATGAGCTTCTCACACACGATCCAGGCTCGTTATATGAACTCTTTTCCTGGACCGCACCGCATGGAGCGGCGTTGCTTTGGTTATCGAATTTCCCGGATTTCAACTTACCCGTCTTCTAGGTGGACCTTTCACCTATTTTCTTGCATATGTCTTGGCTCGTTTTTTTGCAGCGCCGCTGCCTGTATACTTCTATGGTACTGGTGTCGAGAAAGAAAGGGGGACAACATGTGAAATGACCAAGCATTTGACCCTACACGAGGAATGCACTAAGGAACGACATTTTGAGAGTTTTCATTTTTCCCGAGGCAGAGGGGCGTGGGCCGCGCGGTAATGGTACTTCGGGCCATCCAAAGCCGGCGCCGTTCTTTCCAAAGCCTCAATGGTGCTATGGATTTTTGCTTCTTGCTTTGACCGCGTTCACTTCTCTTCTTTTTACTTGCCCTTCCCGTGGGGACCAGAGACTTCTCTGTTTACGGGGAAGGGTGAGAGTTTGACCGGATGGCTTGGCTGCTTGGTTTTGATACATATTTTTTGTATTTATTCTGGTGTGGCAAAAATGGGCTGCTTAATACTCCCTAGGATGGACGGACAGGGTTTGGCGATAATGGCTTCATTATTGGAGTTGGGAGTGTAGGATTAGGGTTATCTCCCGATGAGGAGAGTCAAAGAGTAACGGGAACCTCGGCTAGGCGCTCTGCATTTTTTGTATTGATTTTGAGTACGGATAGCGATGATACCACAATGAATGTGCAGGGCTGTTACGCAAGATGTGATGATCAGTAACGTTGCGTGGTGTGATTTATGTTACCGTACTGCAGGGAGGAAAGAAGGTACTATATTCTCTGTAGATTTTTTTCAACACAGATATCGGCATCTTGTCTCTTTCAACTTTGCCTCGTAATAAATACATGGTATATAGACAGTTGTCGTGGTAAGTGTCGTATATAGAACCAAGTCGACGAAAAAAAGACGAGTGTTCGTGCATGCTTCTAGCCCAGCTGCAGGAACAAGGGGCGCGGATCGGGAACGAAGCTTATCGCACATAAGCTTGCCGAGCACGCAAATGAAAATTACGCAATCGCCGCTGGAATGCGTGCCAGCGTTGCAGTGGTGGCCTTCTTGGCAGAAACCAATGGCCGGAGGCACGTGGGCAATTACTTAGCCAATGGCTCATGGTGGCTCATAGCAAAACCGACATGGGGTTCTCTTACGCTAATATAAGTAACATTCGCCTACTGCGAATCGTCTCCCCTTTCTACTCGGCGCGAGCCCGAAGCGACGGCAATTGACCATGTCTGGACGAATTGAGGGACGGGCCCGCGATGGGGGAGTAGCAGCGGCTGCGTGGGATACCGTGAGGGCGAATTGGCATCTGGGGTTTACGGGGTTTGGCGGCCCGCCTGTGCACTTTAAGATCGTAGGTTGTACTCTGTTTGTACTCGATGAGAAGGGGAGAACGGGGTATGTGGCGAGCAAGGAAATGTTTTGCTGATGAGTGATGCGATATTTCACAGTTCCACGACAAGTTCCTGGTCAAGCTGCGATGGATTGACGAGCAGATTGTAAGTCGTCACTGCGTTCAACACTGCGGACTGGCTTGGTTGACATGGGATTTGGGTTACAGTATCAGGAATTATTCAGCGTGTGCCAGGTCCTGAGCGGACCTGGGAGCACCAAGATGCTCTACTGTGTTAACCTCATTCATGGCGGATTCACCTCTGCCGTGCTGGCCTTCTTGATCTGGAGGTAAGATTGGTAGTTTCGTTTAAAATTTACATATCCTACTAACAGGAAATGAACCTCATTGCCCTCAAAAAAATCATTGATCAAGTATGCTGACCTCTCTTGTACCAAGTCTCCCCGGGGCGCTGGGCATGTACGGCCTCTCCGTCGGCGTCTCGAACATATCCGACACGCTGCCTCGGCAAGTCTACGCGCTCCTGTCCGGTCTCAATGCAGCAGCCGTGGGCATCGTCATCCTGGCGGCCGTCGAGCTATCCCAGAAATCTATCACGGATAAGGTCACCAGAATACTCGTCTTCCTCGCCGCCGCCGCGGGGCTTCTGTACAACGCGCTGTGGTATTTCCCGGTGCTGATGTTCCTAGCCGGCCTGACGACCATTGTGCATGACTATCGCTGGCTGCACGGCCCAGTCAAGGCCGTGATTAACCTATTCCGGAGAAGGAGCGGTGCCAACGAAGGAGATGTCGAGGAGGTTGAGATGACACGCCGCGAGGAGCAGAGGAGCGAAACCAGCCCTGGAGAGTCCGTGAGGGCGTCGAGGGATGTTCAGCGCCAGCTCACACCACCACCGGAGGAGCATGACTCCAGCAATCAGGTCGGCTCCTCGGCCGCGGAAGAAGTACGAGTAGTTCCTCCGGAGAGACGGTTCCACATGTCTTGGAAAGTCGGTCTTGGTGTCGTCGTGGCATTTTTCATCTCCTTCGTTGTCATCATGGTTCTTAGGGGAGTTCTGCCGCAGAAGCCCCTTTTGTACCAACTGTTCTCCAACATGTACCTCGCGGGCACCATTATCTTTGGCGGTGGCCCTGTAGTGATCCCCCTGCTGCGCGAATACGTGGTCGCGGAGGGTTGGGTCAGCCCGAGAGACTTCCTCATCGGGCTGGCCATCATCCAGGGCTTCCCGGGCCCCAACTTCAACTTCGGGGTGTACCTCGGAGGGCTGACGGCCGCCAATGCCGGGTACAACACTGCGCTCGGTGCTCTGATTGGCTATCTGGGCATCTTTCTTCCAGGAATCTGGCTTGTCCATGGAACCATGGGGATTTGGAGTGCAGTACGCGCGCTGCGATGGGTCAAGTCCATGGTGCGAGGCGTCAATGCAGCGGCCGTTGGTTTGATCTACACTGCTGTGTACCGGCTTTGGCAAATCGGGTATATCGACGAAGGCTACAAGACAGGGACGAGCATGGCCGTGGAGCCATGGTGGGTTGTCGTAACGGCCACGAGTTATGTAGGAGGGATGTGGTTCGGTGTTAGCCCACCAATGACAATCGTCATGGGCGGAGTGATGGGGCTGATATGGTACGGGGTGGTGACGGCTTGATATGGATATGGGAGAGGACGAGAAGAGGTTGTTTCTTATTTAGACGCTGGGAGATCCTTTGCGATTTTTTGTTGGATAGCTTCCCAGATCCACCATTGAACGAGATCTGGTTTTGGTGTTTGATACCTGACCTTGCGTGGCTGCCCGGGGCGTCCCTCCTGGATGTAGAACTTATCAACAGCACGCCACATATACCACTTGCGATTTGCATTCTCCTGTGCTGCCGAATCCGGGCGTCGAATGTAGTTAATCAGGCCGAAGCGTCGCTTGGCCGGTAGGAGATCACCAGCTGCCATGGTGCTCTGCCTGGGCTTGGCGATGAAGCTCATCGTAGTGAGGGTGACCTTGGTCGAGGGGGGCATCTCGGAGCGGATGAACCGCTCAAGGACCGTCTTGGAAGCCCGGGCCTGAGAAGGCAGGTTGACATGAACATGCGTCACGAAGGATGCAGTTGTGAAGGCGACGAAGATGGGGGGCACAATGCCGCAGAGCAACACCTGGGCCGTGTCCCAGACGGGCTTCTCGGACTTGATGTAGGTAGGCACCACGATACCGCAGAAGAAAGCTCCGATGAAGAGCGAAGTAACTTTCAACAAAGCAATGAAAGTCGTGCGAGCGGTGCCGGCATGGAAGATAAGCACTCTCGCTGGAAGAGCTACATGTTTCAAAGGTCAGCCTGTGCCATTGCGTAGAATCGGTGTATCCTTGTCTTGTCACCAACCATGTTCTTTGGTGTTACTGGCCGCGGCCTTTGCGAGCCGCTTGATCTCTTGCTCAGCGCGGGAAGGTTTTGATGTTGGTTGGGCGTAGAAACGACACTGAAGAGATTTCTGGGCAGCTGAGCGCAATGAGGAAGGAGAGGATGATGTGAGCTGCAGTCTTCGTGTTGGTGACATCAATTGGGTACACCTAGGTCGAAGTGACGCCAGTACTCGGCTCCTGAATATCATCTTGAGCTGTCGGTTGTGTGATGGCGAGTGAATTGCCAGATTTACGAGTGAGATTTTCAAGCTGTCCCCAAATGAAGCTTCGCGATTTGTTGGAGACGGGTGCTAATTTACACCCCACTGTAGTTTGGACACTCGGTGGGTGACATAAGAACTGAGACACCTAATGGAAGAGTTATAATCGACTACTTTCTGCAAAAAATAGAGAATTTTAGTAGTATAAAAATAGGAGAAAAGGACAATACAGTGTTGTATATTATTAGGACTCAATAATCTGACAATACCGGTCGCAGACTTGAGAATAAGCAGCATAATGTTTGAGTGTCTCGATTTCAATGTCACCCACTTGGACATAGCAGTCTGCCGCTGAACAGGGGTTCACTTCAGGGAGTAAGGTGCCCACTATCGCTTTATTTAGCGCCTCAAGCTCCCCAAGCTTCGATCATATCACCATGGCGGACCATTGGCCCTGTTGAGACAATCCATTGATGAGGTTTGAACTCTCATTGGCATTGGGATTCTGTTTGACGGATTTGTTTTTGAATTATTGAGCCTATTCACAGCTTACTACGATGACCATGGCCCGAATCACCTAGTCAAACCACATTCTTGGTCAGCCACTCCTTCCACTGATCAGGAGTCCACCCAGAGCTGATATCTTGAACCACGCCGTCAAAGACACCGGTGGGAGTGACATGAACGCCAATGAGGCGGTTCATCTTGGTCACGACCTTGAGGTCAGCCGTGACCCCGTTGCCCGAGTTGAGCGAGCCGTCCTCGCCTGGCTTCTCCGGAATCACGAGTAGCTTGTAGACCTGGTCCTTGTCGACGCCCACGCTACCGGCGAGGTCCGCCAGGCGCTTGTAGGTGTTGTTCCTGGTCTCGTTGACGACGTTGACGTCGAAGTAGGCCTTCTGGTCGTCGAACAGCTTGGCGCTGAAGTCCCAGAACTTCTCGGGCGCCAGCTTGAGGACGGCCAGGGCGGCCTCGTGGACCAGCGTGGACGAGGGGTGCCAGGGCTGGACCTGCTGGCGGAAGACGAGGGTGAAGTTGGAGGCCCAGACGGGGTTGGCGCGGATTAGAGGCACGACCTGGGTGGTGAACGTCTTGAAGATCTTGGCGGAGAAGGGGCAGACGTAGTCCAGGTAGAGCTCGAGAGTGTGCGGAGCGGGTGGGACGGCGGCATTGGGCTGGGCCAGCTCCCCAAAGTGCAGTTTCTGGCCGGCAAACTTGGGAGGGAGTGCCATTGTGATAGTATTTGGCAAATAAGAGTGACAAGTATTAAATGCTGTAATTTGCTGTGTTTGAGCGCGAGCAGATGATGAGTTTATCTACAGCTGCGGTGTTTAGACGTGAATGTTTTCATGTGTTGGCGGGGGCGAGTGATGTGATTCGCATGGCACATTACGTCGCTTCAATGATGTCAAGCAGTAGTAATTCGTCAATGGGTTTGGTGGATCTCAACGCTGTCTATGATATGCAATTGGCCCGGCTTGCCGGCACTCGCTTACTACAGCATGAGATGCAACTCATGGTGAGCTCGCAAGATTAAAGAGAGTTTGATAAGCATACGCTGAGCGTATTCATGGATGCTCAAAGCATGGATCTATCTAGGTAGATGATACACCTAAGACGCTGGAAATGGCACACCCAAATAACCACCCAAATAAATATCCAATTATGTCAATAAGTAGCTTATTCTAAGCAGAGATTAGAGAATACTCATACTTACCTAGACCTTATGCTCTTTCCTTTCATTTATTTTAGTACCTCCATAGCTAGCTATGAAAGATAACAGATCAAGTATATGCTAAGGGAGTGCTTAGGTGTGCCATTTCCAGTGTCACCCACTTGACACCATACAACGCCACATATGGTATGCCATATTAAGGTTTGTCATTTGAAAAGATGTGCTCTCCTTGGGTTTCTACTGCAGTATCAACTCGGCCAGTAGTTGGACGTTATGCATTCCTTTGTTATATGATTCACCCGCGTGATACATGCTCTTCCCCCACTTAGACAATCGGCTGCCAACCCCCGGATTACTGCAAAAGGCGATTGGAGCAACACCCGTCATAAACGTTGCCTATACCGCGGTGCTAGCCTCCAATGCACGAGAGAAGGATTCTACGCCTGGAGTGGGGTTCCTCAAACCATCCAGATAGGTGCACCAAGCGTCAAGTTTCTTGCTTGTCTTGTACGCCGAGTTTATCCCCAAGTTTCACCGCTTCCACGTGGAGGTTTACTCCGGCGTAAGAGTACGTGGACAACGGCCTGCGTGTCTCGGACACCACGAGGACAGTCTAGACGCCTAATGATCTTACAGATCACATACTCAGAAGCATGCAAACCAGTGGTGTTTCATTGCCCAACCCCAGGAAGATGACGACGAGACCGGGCCCCTCTTCTTTCTGCACTCATGGTTGGATGTTGGCTATGGGCGGCATCGTGACGTTCAGAGGGCAACCTTTCATTGGATGGCCGAGCGGCACCTTGTTGTCCACCCGAGGACGGGAGTTGTCTTGGAGGTTGCAGCTCCTAAATCTTCCGGGTGGGTGCCGCGGCGGTGGTTGTCGGGTGCCGTTCTATCACACCGGCTCCACGTAATGCGAATGCACCATGTCACCAAATGGGATAGTGGCTGTGTCGAGATTCCCCCGCTTGGACGTACAAGGGTTTTTACGAGGTTTCCAGGTGATGTTCATCAAACACAGATCCTTTGGCCGGGATGGTGTTTTGTGTTTAACGGAGATGACGATATGAGAGCTGCTGAGGGTCGGAAGCTGGCCGATTGATGGGGGCCTTAGCTGTAGGCTGTTAAGTCTAATGTTCCAGCGCTATCTCTGAGGTAATGTAGGTGTCCTCGGCACTGAAGCCATTGGCTGCTGCACTCTGATCGGCTGCAGTCCGGGGTCGTAGCGCCTGTGCCCCTCGCTGAGTTCGGCCTAGCGGTACGTTTATATTGCCCTCCAGGGTGGGACCGTTGCCGAGATTGTCTCGAGTCCAGAGTTAAGTAGAGGCCATTCTGGAACATTTCCCCCATCGCCAAGTAACTTACACATCGTCTCCCAAACACTCACTCTTCGTCGTCTATTGCTCGCCCAAATAGCATCCGTACCAGACACACAGGCATACGTAACCGCTCAACCGACAACGGACGCCTAAAAGGTCGACTGGCGGTCACCAAATCGGACCACCATGATCTGTCTCTCCAAGGCCGACGAGGGTACCTTCCGGCATCTGACATATAATCAGAGCCCCTCGCCCCTCGCTGCCGAGAACACCACTTGCCAGGACATGAATGGAATCGCTAACTTGAGGGAGCATGTTGCTGCCAACCAGGACGATGACTCGGGCGGAGGCCTCTGTCATTCGTCAGCTCCGGATGAGAAATGGCAACATGGCGAACAGCCTCCTGGGCCATGGCCGCCATTGTCGGGTACGAGATGGTGGTCTGCAGGTTAGTCGCCCTACTAATCCTCTGTTGTACTTCTACCGTACTGATGCTGACACGTTTGAACAGGATCTATCTCGTATCTCAAGGCAGCAACTGGTGGTGAAGACCAGAACTGCCGTAAACAGGTAACCTCGCCTTCCTGGCTCTCACGCCTTGTGGGTGTAATTACCTGGCTCCTATCTGTTCTTGTTGTTTCATTCCTTTTGAATGAATGGAACTCTCGTGGAAACAATACCTCCGCATCGTCTACCCAGTCTACTACTATTACTCCCGTTGATTTGAACCCCCTTGACGTTCACGCGCTGTCTGCCCTTGTCTCTCGAGCCCCCAAGGATGACCTCGCTGTCGGGCCGCTGCGAAAACGATCCACATGTACTGTGGGAGGCGTAGCACCGGAGTCATACAACCTGCCGCTTCATGTTGGCGCCCTCATCATCATCTGGTTTGTCTCGAGTTTGGCTTGTTCCTTCCCTATCTTGGCAAAACGGTTCCCTGGCTTGCGAATTCCTCAAACTTTCTTCTTCTTGGTCCGACACTTCGGTACCGGTGTCCTGATAGCTACAGCCTTTGTTCATCTCTTGCCAACTGCCTTCCTCTCTCTTGGCAATCCATGTCTCGGCGACTTCTGGACAGTCAAATTCCCTGCCATGCCTGGTGCCATCTCTCTTGCAGCCATCTTCCTTGTGACCATCATCGAGATGGTGTTTCATCCATCTCGTCGCTGTACTTCAGGCGTCGATGACATGGCTGGCGGCATCCAGCTCGAGCAATCTGCAGAGGAAGCACACATTGAACATCCGAACCCGATCCGCGACATGGCACCACCTCGAGCCAGAACTGGCAGCCTAGGCCATGGCCTTAATCGTCTGCAAACAAGAGAGGAAAGCGTCGAAGAAGACGAACAAGATAATCCTCAGAGCGACGTTGAGACAAACCGGAAAGATGGATCTTCTCTCGTCAAGGTCGAGACGCTATCTCCGGAACAGAGGACTCGCAAGGAACGCATGCAATGTGTCATGCTGGAACTGGGCATCCTCTTCCATAGCGTCTTCATCGGAATGGCTCTCAGCGTCGCCATCGGCGATGATTTTGTTGTCCTTCTGATTGCAATCGCCTTTCACCGTAAGCACCCACCTCATCCTCCTTTTGAAGTTTAACCTCATCTCATACAATCTCCAGAGACGTTTGAAGGCCTCGCCCTGGGGTCCCGTGTTGCGGCCGTGAGTTGGGGTAATAAAAAGTATCAGCCCTGGATGATGGCAGCGGCGTATGGATTGACGTATGTTTTCCCATCCCCTTTTCTCCTGCCCACCGCAACTAGATGCTTACTCTTAGGCAGAACCCCCCTTGGTCAAGCCATTGGCATTGCGACGCACACTCTCTATAGCCCAGACTCGGAGACCGGACTCATCGTCACCGGTGTCATGAATGCTATTTCGGCCGGCCTGCTTACCTTTGCATCACTTGTGGAGTTGATGTCCGAGGACTTTCTCAGCGACGATAGCTGGAAGATTCTCAGAGGAAAGAAGAGGGTTTTCGCTTGCCTGCTCGTCTTCTTTGGTGCCTTTTGCATGAGCCTTGTTGGCGCGTGGGCGTAAGAAGTATGCTTGCAATAAGCTCTTTTCGACTTGTCACTCAAGTCCCCGTGGTGCATGAGGTAGGCATTTTCCCGAAATGTCGAACCTGGTGAGGGGCCCTCGCACCGAGCACTTGACTGGAGACGATTGCTTCCATGATCAAGAACAGATATTTCACTTCGTGTTGAACCATTTCCATCGTGGGAATGGCTCAATGTCCATCTTGCTTCCTTTCTCTTGTCCGGACTTGGCACTTGGTTAGGACATCTTTGCCTGCTCATCTTTTGGATAGTTCTTGTCTATTCTCCCTCAAATTTAAGATGATTTACTTGTAATACCTACCGTACTTGTGCTTGTAAAATAATCGTAGACAGCGAACCCCAATTTGGCAAAATGTCAGCTAATTGTTTAGCTCCAGTCCCCGGAGGCACCATCGTGAGCCGCCCCGGAATGTGGGGGATGGTTACATAATACACCGTCCTGACGCCTAAACCATCAAACACAAGCTCCAACTCCGACGCAAACCGCCGTCGCAAGAGCTTCAAACCCGGCCATCCCCCCCTTTGATCGCAACAACCATGGTCAAGCCTCTCACCTTCAAGGGGGACAAGAAGCCCAAGAAGAGAAAGCGGGCAGCCGCCGACGGCGGAGAGGGCGGCTCCAAGGACCGATCGCTCGTCGCCGCTGCCACCGCCGCCGAGGAGGAAGCCGCCAACGACGACAGCTGGGTGTCCGCCGACTCGGTCGGGGACATCTCGGGCCCCGTCATGATCGTCCTGCCCACCGAGAAGCCGTCGGCGCTCTCGTGCGACGTCAACGGCAAGGTCTTCGCCATCGACGTCGAGAACATCGTCGACGCCAACCCGGCGAGCTCGGAGCCCCACGACGTGAGGCAGGTCTGGGTCGCGAACCGCGTCGCGGGGACGGAGAGCTTTCGGCTGAAGGGCCACCATGGGAAGTAAGTCGCTTGCGAAGCAATTGATGCTTCTTCTTTTTCTCCCTCTCCGTGTTGTTGTTTTCTTCGAAGCTAACTTTGGCTTTCTCAAGATACCTCTCCTGCGACAAGATCGGCCAGCTGTCCGCCGGCGCAGACGCCGTCTCGCCCCTCGAGTCGTTCAACATCAAGCCCGACGCCGAGGCGGGCAGGTTCCAGCTCACGACCCTGCGCGACACGTACATCTCGGCCAAGTCATCCGAAATCAACGGCAAGCCGGGCGTGCAGGTGCGCGGCGACGCCGAGGCGGAGTCCGTCAGCACGACCGTCCGGGTGCGGATGCAGGCGCGGTTCAAGCCCAAGCTCAAGGCGTCCAAGGAGGAGAAGCTGCAGTCCAAGATCAGCCGGCGGGAGCTGGAGGAGGCTGCGGGACGCAGACTGGAGGAGGACGAGGTGCGGATCCTGAAGAGGGCGAGGAAGGAGGGGGATTACCACGAGAGGCTGCTGGAGATCAAGGTCAAGAACAAGCACGACAAGTTTGGTTGAAGGGCCGGGCTGGGGGTTGAGACACGCCTTATCTATATTTGAGCTCCGAAGAGTCCCTGATATGTGGGTAGCGCAATGCCCTTGGACGGTTGTGACAGTGGGCTTCTTAGCCTGGAAGATGTCATGCTGTTTCTGTCACTCTTCGGCTCCCTACGGCTCTAGGGAATAAACCAGATCCCGAGGAATGATATGAGGGTCATAAAACATGAGGTAAATGAGCTTGATCCCGGGAATCGCACATTGGTTCCTTTGTTAAGCACCTACATATATACCTGGGCCGGAGGAGTGCTTCATCAGATAACTCGCCGAGAGAGAAGAAAAGAAAAGAAAAACCAAATACCCATCTAAAATTCATGTCTCATAAATCAAACTTTTCTTTAGTTACCTGGCCGCCAGGCCTTTACCTTCCCATCCTCGCCACCTGTGAATACCATCTGGCTCTCGTCGAAGAAACAGTAAGCCCTTACGATCTCTTCCCCGTGCGCACCAGGCAGACCGACGCTGTTTTCACGGTTCACCTCCCATGAGCCCTGGTTGTTCGTCAAGAACATCAGCTCAAACATTTGCTTGCTACAGATTCCATTAGGGTTAGCACTCCCTTATATGTAAAGAGAAGACTTCTATAGGGTCATAATAATAGAAAAGCAAAAAAAAGAACTCACTCTTGCGCACCAGCACCAACAATGGCACCACTTCCATCATTCTTCGGCACGATGTCCGCCACGTACTGGCACTCCGTGCTTTCCCTCAAGTCGCCGAAATCCTTGATCGCATCCCCCGAGCCCTGGGCCTCGGAGACGTCGTAGATGGCGAAGCGCTCGTCGTGGGACAGCGCGTAGACGAGGGAAGGGCCCAGAAAGCCGGCCCTGTGGATGGAGGCGTTGAGGTTGAGCGTCTGCACCGTGAGCTCGTCCTCGTCCGCGATGGAGGTGTCGTGGACGCTGACGAGGCCGTCGGTAGAGCCTGAGAGGAGCACGTTGGGGTTGGAGGGGTGGTAGGTGAGGGTGGTGATATCGTCGGAGTGGAGGTCGTGGTATGCTGCCTTTTGGACAGGTGCCGAGCGGACATCCCTTTAATGATAGTGTAAGTAAATGGGCAAATGGGCATTACTACAAGAGATGGGACAGTCGCTCATACCAGAGCAAGATGCTGGCCTCGTGGTTGTGAAGTTCTGTGCCGACCGCAATGGTCTGGGTTTCTGAATTGCATGCCATTGAAGCCAACGGTGCTTCGCTCGCTTTTCATGCGAAAGGGTTCACACCCTCTGTTAGTCTCTGCTCGTCACTTACACAGTTGGCGCGGGTTCACTCACTGGCAAATTGCACGACCTGGGCTCCAGCTCGGAGATCCCAGACGCCGACATTTCCATTCTCGCCTGCCGTGCATACCACGTTGTCTCCAAACAACCTCAGTGTGGTGAGGTTGCCATGGTCAGTCTGGAAGCTGGAGACAGGACCCTTGCTAAGTGATTCAGGGTTCAGCAGAGAGAGCTTCTGGTCTGAAGAAATCGAGACGAGGCCGCCTGTGGGCGTTCTCAGGAGATCGAGGACGTAGACATCGCTCCCGAAGCGGTGCTCGTCTGTTGTCGTGAGTGTATACATTGCGAGTTTTCCTCCTGCGATTTTGTGTGTGCTTCTTCGATGCGAAGTCGTCGCTTAAAGTTTTTCTGAGTTGCTCTTTTAGTGCTGGGCTGGTGCGGAGCTCACTTGATGTGCCGTCTTCCACCAAGATTTACGGCATATGGTGCTCAAGATAGTCGGAATCTAGATCAATATCACAGTTATATATATCCATAGCCCTATGGAAATCTAATGTTCACTCTTCTTTCTTGTTTAATTCTTTGAGAGAATCCTGCATCGACGCTGTATTCACTACATATGCTGACGTAATTCGCTGTCGGCTTGTGTAAACCTCACTTTCACTTGAAATTGAAGGAGATGGCTACTCAGATATCACAGAATTACAACTTGTACTGCTACAAATATAGTTACAATCAGCGTCAGAGTCATTATAGGGAGTATGATTATCAAATTCTGAAGTAAGCTTCATTACATTACAGGTATGTGTTAGCTCTTAATTGTCTCCGTCTCTCAAGAATCCACGTTCAGTTTGACAAAATTAAAGTTAATAATACACTTGCTCATTTTGATTTATTTCTTCATAAGCTATACTTTATGAGCTAATCTTTGGCCTGTAGCTCATATAAAGGAGATGGTATATCCGAAACGACTCGCCGATCTATCAAAACGCCCCAGCCAATGCGAACGTAACAAACAACCTGAACGCCAACGACTTTCGACCACCTTTTGATTTTCTTTCATCAGGTCCGTATAAACAGTTTTGTACATTGAATTACAGCCGCTCATCTTCACGCTTCAACGCAGCACGCTCATTCACACCGTGGAACGCCCGCTTGCCAACCTCGTACGTGCTGATCATGATGGCGCACGAGGGTGCAACCTTCAACATCCGTGGAATCCAGCCCTTCCACAAGCCAGTAACGCCCTCTTTTTGGAAGATCTGCAAGAGCAGACGGGCCATATTTTGTTGCTCTGGTGCAGCCTTGCCAGCACCACCGACGGTGCGTGCAGCATCGTTGTAAACCTGGGTACGAGTCTTACCGACGTCGAATGGGGTCGTGACAAAAGAAGCAAAGGCACCAGAAAGAGCACCGGAGATGAAGCTATCGACGAATGCCTCTGTGTGGTTCTCATAATTTTGAGGGTGGCGTCTCAAGTCGCCGTGCGCAGTCAAGGGCCCATGCCGAGAATCCTCCCGAGCGGTGAGGAGTCTCGTCCGGATCGTCTCATATCCCCACCAATATAGACCAGAAAACGGGACATCTCTCCAAAGCGTGAGGGTGAGGCCCCTCCATAATGACCCATAGCCATGTGCAGCAACCATTTCCTTCACGCCCTTGAATGTTTCCATCATGTGGTTCGCTCCGGTAGTGCTGGAGGCAGCTTGCATCCGGGTACGGATGAGTTCGATGGGGCTGACGGTCGTTGCAGCAAATACTCTTGCAAGAGATCCTGATGTCAAGGGGGCGTAGTAATCGGGGAGTTTAGACAGAGGGCTCTTCGAGTCATATCGCAGCCATTCATAGCCAGTAAAGTAAATGATGTTTGCTGGGACTGTCATAACGAGCGTGGGTGACAGTCCTCTCCAGAGACTCGGAATTCCTTCGTTTCGGGCAATCTTTCGGATACCATCGAGAGTCGAGGTGTACGTCCTCTTCTGAACCTCCTGGACAGCACAGTCGGCGGCGTTGGCACTTGCCGCGATGCTCTCGGCACCCCTCGGTACTGCAAGACAGTATTCGGCGGCGTTTCCTGGGAAGAAGACCTCTCGGCAGCAAGCCGTGACACCTACCTCACTAGCCTGGGCCACCGTAAGCTGCCTCGTCTTTATTGCGAGTTTGGAGAAGTCGATCGGGGATGTCGGCGTTCCTTGGGACTGGAGTCGGACACGAACAACGTCGAGCGGGGTGACTGAATATCCAACATTAGCCAACTACTTGTCTTTAACTGGTCGTGGTAGAACCAGGCACTTACCGAGGAGAGCCGTGAGGAGACTGCCGGACATGGCGGAGACCATCTTCTGCCCCGAGGTAATCTCCAGCGCATGGTTCGGGTTATTGTGGGAGCCATCGTGGGAGCGGCCAAGCGCTCCGTTGTTCGGTGCCATGTTCTCGGCGTGCCTTGAAACTCGTTTAAAATATCGGCCGTTTGAATTGAACTGAGGATATTTAATCCTCAGTTCATGGCCTGGCTCGGCGCGGCCCTCGGTAGTGATCGTAAATGCCCGCTCAGTCGTAGGTTGAGAGTCGCCGATTGAAGCCTCGGAAAATGCGGGTACGTGCAATGGGGAAAAAAGGTCGAAGCTGAGGAATTGGGGAAGAGGGGGTTAGGGAGAGGACATAGCCTATGTAGGGGAGAGGTGGAGGGCGGCGACTTTCCAGCTAGTCGGGTCGATGACTCTGCGCCGGGCAAACTATGACATGGATGAAAGCACCGATTGATAAGGGCGGCAGGTTCCAGAAAATTTGGGCTGCAACTCTGGTTGCACCGTTTTGCTTGGACAATTTCGCTAAGCCTCCGTTTGCCGGCGATGCACAATTACGGCGGGGCTTCCGATTGCCGCGACTCCGCTAGACAGGCGCTGTGCGCCGTGATTGGCTGAAAAGGCCGATACGGGTCGAGAGCCGTGAAGACCATCGAGGTTGGCGGCCATCGATCGCTGTAGCACTTGCGAACAGGCAAAACAGCTCGTCTTCACGTGGCAATGATCAGCTCACTCGACAGATCACATATCGCCACCACGATTGGCTGCGACGTTGGATGCTGCCAAGGGATGCACTTGGGTGGTACCTGCGGACGAGCTCCTCTCTCTGTGTTCTGTGACGTGGGAGGTCGAGGAGAGTCTATGGTAGGTAGAAAGCACTAAGCAGGTAGCTGTTATCCCCGATGGATCGAGCTACAGCCGAACATGACTACCTGCGCAGCTGTGGGCAGGTACCAACCTACGTAATCGATATCGATAAGCAGACAGCCCCAGCGCCCGCTATGGCCATGTCTCTGGCCGCTAATCCTTATCCTGTTCGCCGCCCGGGGAGTCATCGCAAACCTCCACTATATTACCGCCTCACCAACACAACCATCAACCACGCTCACGCCGAAGCCTATTCGGGAAGACACTCAATCCTCTCCATCCCATCGCCTCTGTACAAGCCCTATAATAAATACAACGTGCTCCGCCGGTCCTCATCCTTAAAACTTCTGCATCCATCTAGTAGTTCACAATGTATTCATTAAGTTGATTCCAATTCGAGAGCACGCAATCCCCTGCCCCTCTCACCCTCTAACTCCGCTCACCGTGTCTTATCTCCTCAACCACTGAGCATCACTCTTCACATCTGATATAAACCATGTCCGGCTCCAAGGATCCTAAGCAGGATCTCAACTCGGAGCTCGAGTCGTTCCGGCAGCAGTGGATTTCCGATCTGCGCCACAAGGACGAGCCCGCCGTTGCCTCGACCTCATCCCCAGGGCCCTCACGGCCGCGAGCACCCTCTTCGTCCATCCAGCATCCCGTTCTGAAGTCAGGCTACCTACCGTCATCTGGTGGGAAGAAAATTGCACCCGTCGAAGATGACGATGAATACTTTCAAGGCCGCTCCTTTGACGAGCTTCCGGCCCCTTCCGGCCATACACTGGCTGACAGCCCAGCTCAGCCCTCCAAAGAGAGGAAGCTCGTCTCAGCCTTAGACCATTTCGAGGAGGCCATGGAGAAGGAAGCCCAAGGAAATATGGGCGCCAGCTTAACACTGTACCGAAAGGCCTACAAGGTAAGCATGTCTGTATCAACTCCCAGAATGATGTAGTCGTCATAGTTACTAATTGTGCTTCTCTCAAGCTGGACAATGGTGTAGACAAGAGATACCGGGAGAAGCACTTCCCCGGGGCATCCAAGTCACATGCTATATCACATTCATCAGCAGCTACGGCATCCTCCTCTACTACCGCCGCCAAGAATGCCGCGCCTTCACAGCCCGGTGCGGCCAAACCGGACGAGGAACCGGCGCAGCCTCTCTCAATCCCAGAGCTTCTAGCAAGCTTCGCCGAGCTAAGCATTGAGCCCTCGCCCCCGGAGGTGGAGGGCATGCCGCAGCCCCCTTGCCCGATCGCCTCGGTGCCAGACGAGATCCTCGTCCACGTCCTCTCCGACGTCGCCGTCCACGACATCGCCGCCTTCGCCCGCCTCTCCCTGGTCTGCAAGCGCCTCGCCTACCTCGTCGCCTCCGAGAAGCGCATCTGGCGCGAGGTCTGCCTCGGCAGCAAGTTCGGCTTCAGCGGCATGCGCTTCCACTGGAACACCAACGTCGACTGGAAGCCCCTCGAGGAGAAGGAGCAGGAGGAGCAGGCCGACGACGGCACCCTCGTCAGCATGCGCGAGCTCGAGGCCCGC